CTCTCTGTGTTCTCCCAAACTAATCTTCTGAATTCTTCATGTCCCTTTTTCCCTCTTTCCAAATTTCTTTCACTGGATTATACTCTTTAAATAACATCTCCAAACCCTAATCTTCCCGATTACTGCTTATACTCTTGCTACCTCTACCACTACGGGATTTGAATCGACCACTGCATCTCTGTGCTAATGTGGTGTGGCAACTCGAACTGATGTACGTACGTACGAAGTTCTACGTTGTTACTGACTGACTGACTGAAGAGTGATGCCCCTGTAGTTATCACAGTTGCTGAGATCGCCTTTCTTCGGTATTTTGATCAGAAGTCCTTCTTTCCAGTCTTTTGGTACTTGTTCCTCATCCCAAATCTTATTGAAGAGAATGTGGAGTATCCTTGCAGTTGCCGCTACGTCTGCTTTTAGTGCCCCTGCTGGAATGTTGTCTGGTTCTGCTGCTTTGCCGCTCTTGATTTGCCTGATGGCCATGCTTGTCTCTTCAATTGTTGGCGAGACAACATCGATTGGGAGGTCCGTGGGTGCTGCTTCGATGTTGGGTGGGTTCAGTGGAGCTGGTCGATTCAAGAGTTCTTTGAAGTGTTCTACCCACCTGCTTCGTTGCTGTTCAATGTTGGTGATTACCTTGCCTTCTTTGCTTTTCACTGGTAGTTCTGGTTTGCGGCGATGTCCAGAGAGTTTCTTTGTCGTGTCATACAATTGTCTCATGTTTCCTTCTCTTGCAGCCTTTTCCGCCGTTGTTGCTAAATCTTCCACATATTTACGTTTATCAGTTCTGATGCTCCTCTTCACTTGTTTGTTTATTTCTGCGTATTCAGCTTGTGCCTTGGTTTTTTCTGCTTTTGTTCGACTGGTGTTGATTACTGCTTTCTTGTTCCTCCTTTCTTGAATCTTATCCAGTGTATCAGTAGTGATCCATTCGTTGTGATGGTGCTTCTTGTGGCCCAGGACCTCACGACATGTTGAAGTGATTGCCTCTTTGATCCCCTTCCAGTTGCTCTCCATAGTAGTTTCTTCTCCATTGAGTAGATCATGAAAGGCCTGGAACTTATTGCTGAGGCAAATAGAACTATGTTATCTGCATATTCTAAGTCAACAAGTGAATCTCCCGGTAGAAGTTCAACTCCTTGAAATTTAGATGAGGAAAGTGTTATCTCTAAAAGCACGTCAACGACAAAGTTGAACAAGAATGGAGAGAGTGGGCAGCCCTGACGAACACCATTTGAGGTAATCAATTCTGATGACCGTTTGCCATAAGCTCTCACTCTACCGGTTTTGTTCGAGTAGAGAGCCTTTATAAGGTTAATATACTTCTTTGGTACTCCTTTCAATGACAAACATTGCCATAGAACCTCACGATCAACAAAGTCAAATGCCGCCTTAAGGTCGAGAAATACTACGACTGTAGGGCGTCTGAATGTGTGTCTATGTTCTAGGACCTGACGTAGTGTGAATATCTGGTATATACAGCCACGTCCAGGTCGAAAATCAGCCTGGTTTTCTCTAGTCTGTTCTTCACGAGCTTTGGTTAGACGTCGAAGAATTATTGAAGCTAATATTTTAGACATTATATTAGTCTGTGATTGTCACAAGAGGACTTTTGTCCTTTCTTATAGACTGGCACAATCAATGATTGAGACCAGTCAGATGGGATTACATCCAGTTCGCAGATTCTACCTAGGGCCTCAGTCAATTTCACTGCTAATACTGGACCATCTCAGGGGTAAACCTGTCAGGGCCTGATGCTCTCCTTCGTTTCAGATTTCTTATAGCTTTTCCAACTTCGTAAAGAGTTGGAGGACTTATATCAACTTGCCGTTCAGGTCTACTAGAGATCGTGGGAAACCGAAGTGTGGCTGAAGGCCAGTTGAACTGATCTCTAAAGTGTTCTGCCCATCGATCCAATCTCCTGGATTGAGAATGAATAGTACGTCCATTTTTTCCCGAAATAGTTTCGCTAAAAGTTGGGTTCGTAATACCGGTCTCTTTGACAAGTCTGAACAGTCGTCTGCTGTTGCCCGTTGCCGCTGCGTTTTCCATCTCTCTTGCTTTCGCTACCCACCACTGTTCGCGATCATTGCGTAGGCTTCTTATCAATCTGCGCTTAAGCTGACTCCGCTCTTCATCATGTTCAGAGCCAGATGGGACGAGTTCTCGAGCATCTATCAGTGCGGTATATGCTGCTGAGATCCAATATTTCTCCCTAACCTTGTGGTTTACCTTACTAGCAGATATCACTGCTGTTTTCAGTTTTTCGGATATCATTCCTAGCTGCCTCGCGGTGGGCATCACTTACATGGCTACCTTACTGTTTTTCTAATTGTTCCTGAAATATATTCTTAGCTTGGTTGTCATTAAGTAGAACCCTAAGACGTTTCCTTACAGTCTTTCCTACGTCCAATAAGACGTGGACAAATACGCACTCGCATTAGAGCATGATCTGAATCTAGGCATGTGCTCCAGAATGAGCGACAGTCTTTTATCGAGCCCCTCCATCGGTGGCTGATAGCAATGTGTTATTGGAACATAGACTGGATTAAAGCAAGCTCAATGCACGATTGCTTTGGTGCACGCTGATTGGCTAATTCTTATCCAATCAGCACTAGTCGATAGTTGGAGAATACTCTAGAATCTTCTCAGGTAAAAAACTTAAATATACTGACGTTTTCCCCTATTGTGCTTCTGACTTCCACCTAACCTTGTTATTTGGAATATAATCTCCTTCCTGTTCAACCGTGTTCTGATTTGGGGACTTGTCGAGTGAATCGGTGTCCGAGAATACTAAGCAATAGGAATAGCTGGGTCATAACCGTAAGAATAGAGTTTATAACACAATGTGATCTAGTTAGGTCTAACGTTGGGACGAATTCGGGGGTCAACATGTTAAAAGATGTTTTTCCCTATGCTTAAAGTCAGTATTTTCTAGAAACAGGCGGTTATCTGAGCATAGCTGTAACAGACGGTCGCCATTATCTGTTCTTTGAGCCACAACACTATAATATCCACCCAGGTGTCCTTCCTTTTCGCCTAGTCTACCTGCTTGAGCATTAAGTCACCAGCCACTACTACTACATCTGAGCGTCTAACTTTTGGAGGAGGTCAGAAAGCTTTCTTTAAAACTCATCTTTTATCTTATCTGAGCTAAAGTCAGTGGGAGAGTAGACAGAAGACGAAAAGGCAACGAAAAGTGCTCCTATCTTTCCGAGACCTTACTGTTCCGTTTAGTCGGACAGCACACAAGAGACTTTCTACTGGAATCCTGTCTGAAAGAGCTAGTTCTGCCCTAAGAATAAATGCTATGCCTACACCAGAGAGGCCACGGGAAGCAAAATCAGGGCTTCCAGATATACGAAGCGTGAGTCGAAATGGTTCTTTATTTTGATATGGTGAGATCAAATGAATGACGCTACTTGGATCCTGTATGCGCGTTTCGGAGACGCAGCATACATCGATGGGGCAAGATTCTAAGATGCTAGCTAAGGAAGCCTGTTGTCCTATTCGGCAGTGTTCGGACATTAAAAGCTCCTACATGTAGTTCAGAGCGTGGTTTCAGGAGGCCGGGAATAACGTTCCGTGTACTCGAGTCGTTTGCATTAGCGGCGCGAGGTGACAAAGGAACGTGAGGAGGGTTAGTCGTGGAGATTATAGAGTTATTAGGTGTAGGAAGGATTTGGTTGTGACCAACTTGGTCTCGTGTGCTGTTACGGGTATGACAGTTGATGTCACTTCCCGGCTGCCCACACCGTGGAAGGGTATTTCTTGAGGAGCCTGAAAAGGAAGTTGGATTAGTGTTGATCTTAACGACCTGACGCGTGACCGCAGAGCCCAAGGGACAACTACTTGAGACCGGTCGCGCACGGCTTTTTTGTGGGAAGTTTTTAACGTGTTTGCTGCATTCTTCAAAGGGCCTTACCGCCGGAGACTGAAATCCGTGAGATAAGGTAAGGTGTGCATTTTTAGGGCCGACCTTTTCCAACCCCACTCTTCCTTGTGGGAAGGCAGCATCGCTGTTATGCTGTCTGTCTGAAGGAAACACCTAACTGCCTTCACACCTATGTATAGTCAGCAGTACGACTTCGCCCTCGGACCTTTGGTTTGGTGCTCTTAGTCTTACTGCTCTTCAACCGACCTGTCTGGCGTGGTAGGACCTTGGGGAGTGATTGTCCCAGCCAGTATAGCTCGATTGGTTCTTTATGATAGGCAAGCCTGACCACCACGTCAGGGTAGCAGCTACGGTCGGGTTTGAGACCTAGTGCACGAGCTAGCACTGTTACAAAGTTTCACTAAGAATTTACTACTTCATAATTGGACGAATTAAATGTGAAGATGATCCATGTTATCCAACGCTTCGATTACTCTACCATGTCGCCTATTTCAACTTGTCTCATGGAATAACACTAAATAATACTTTGAATCGGTCACCTAAATACATTTACATTGTATTTGTAATTAAGAATCAACTAAAGGCTTTCTAAACGAAACTACATTAAGTGATGGGAAAAACACCCAATAACTTCAGATTAGTCAAAAATGCAGAAATAAAGAAGCATCCAAATCATTTCACAACTTTAGATGGGTAGCTCCTGTAATAAAACTGTAGTGGGTCAATAAAACAGGGAATATATTTGGGAAAAAACAATGCTAAGCACAAGCCGTGTTTCATATACATGAAGTGAAATTTGGAAGCATCTCCGGTATACTTATCAGATAAGTAACAGACAGATGACTTAATAATTGTCTAAGCCCCATACCTTAGTGCCCTAATATATCAAAAGATTTTTTTAATAAAAATAATCAACAGTTAGTTTAACAATGCTGTGAACTATCGTACATTGTGTTAATGAGGTATGGCAACTTGGACTGATGCATATGTGCCTGGTCCTACGTTGTAGCTGACTGACTGACTGACTATCGTACAACTGCCATGAGTATTTGTCTTGTGAACAAGTGTAAATGACGGTAACAATAAAGTACTAACAAACCTGACTTACCTAATTCAGGAGGCAGTACAGCAAGGCGATTGTTCTGAAGATGGAGTTCCTTTAGTCTGGTAAGTAAACATATCTCTGCTGGTAGTGACACAAGGTCATTGTCACGAAGAGCCAACTAATTTGTTGATTCAATTAAAATGTTAAACCTTACTATTTCCAAATTCAAAAGCTTTCCAATGCCAGGTGGAATGCGTTCGAAATCATTGTCTGACAGGTATAGAGCTCTAAGTGTTACCAAGTTGAAGAAATTATCAGGTAAACTAGTTTCTTTTAAGTTATTATACGTCAAGTCGAGAATTTCGAGGGAAGGGAAAGCACCGAAACCGCGAGGTAAGACAGACAGCTTATTCATCCTCGTAATTTTAAGAAAAATGACACAAAATAGTACCTACCCAAGATTTAAAGACCGTAAATATGTTAACTCCACAATCTTTGGAGAGATATCCTTTAAAAAAGCACATTAATAGTAAACGTTGGTGCCTACCATAATACAATTATTAAAGAGATTCAGGTGTTCTAAAGTTTGCAGAGTTGATATCTCTTGAGGTATTTCTGAACCGCAAATGGTAATTAATGGGACAAACTAACGCACCCGTTATTTTATTGTGAGACAGAGTTAGGGAACGTAAATGATCCAACTTTGCTAAGAAAAGCAATCAGCAAACCCAAAAAATAAGTTACCAAGCTCTGGGATGTAAGGAATCGAAGTCAGATCTTTACGGATGGCCTCTAATGCATGCTCCTTTCCTTCACGTACGTCTTCTATCGTTTTGCGAAAGTTCTTTAGTTTTCCAGATATCATAGTGCCGACAAACTATTACTGTGACATAACCAGCAACCTGAAGACACAACAAATGCTGGTTAAAGAAATCATGAAACAGGATGCATCCTTATTTTTTAGATGTAAATAAACATGATAGGCAAGCAGGAGGGACAAAACTGAAAGAGACGTAAGAACTTTGAGATGGTGGAGAACTTTGTCTAAGTCTTTACACACCTCAAACAGTATACTTTGGAACCAAAATAATAGAAAATATATTCACTGGATTAGCAAAAATAACATCAAAAACCAGGAACAAGTTGACAACATACAGCAAAACCACCCGTTATGTAAGATGGACGATTTTGGATAACTAATAGACAATGGATTACTTTAAAAAACTGGATTGTTTCGCGGAACACATCTGTAAACTTAACGATTTCGGGTTAGATACATGAATGGACCTCATAAAATGATACGTTCCTATAGTCGACAAGGATTTTAGAAAAATCCATCGCGACAAGATTACGATATTTGCTGAAAACTCTTGCCTCTCGTCATGACACTTCGGTGTGAAAAGTATGGTGAAATATGATAGTTTCACCAACAACACTTTCCGGCCTGCTTTAAGGATGTTTGTAGTTAGTACATCTCTTATACTACCTTAAACAGCTCGTCCAAACTCTCGAATTTCGATGCCGAAGTTTGGATCGTCAAAACATCCAAAAGTAACTGATAATCGCAGGTATGAAGAGCTGTTTTGTGGCTCGAAAGATGTCAGCCGACACAATAATGAGCTCATTTTTGTTAAATTTGGTCACAAGTGACCGAATGGTAAGAAAAACCAAGTTGTTTAGTTGGTTACTATGTCCCATTATCTTATTTTCGAAAAGCCTTGAATTCGCGTCTTGTAAATAGCAGGAGCTACAGCGGTTTAAGTAACTGACTACTGACTGAATTCTTGAGGTTTGCAACACTTATCACACATAATGGGGGGAATTTAGAGAAATACTTAACTAACTTTCCATCTATCCACCTCTTCCACAAACTTTATTATAACTTTCGTTTCCACACTTGGTCTAATCAAGCCATAGATTTATGATAAGTTATAGTAATTATTTTCACAATTTCCAGAATAACGGGAGTGCCGGAATACTTAGTAACATTTGTATGAGTTACGACTAGTGAAACACTGCAATTCCCACTGTCTGCCACAAACACACACGTCATGAAGACTCAAAAAGTGGAACCTAAGGACCTTGTTTAAAAAAATAGTACATTTCAACTAAGTGTCTTGATAAATCGTGGAAACTTTTGGAAAGCGATTGAGTTGCGACATCTTAGAGCAACAACCTGAGAGATCCAACATCATTTTATTATGAACTAGTTGAATGTCATGCAAAATAAATTCATATAGGTAATGACAACTGCTAGGGTCAAACTCCAAAGTAAGACAAGTCTAAAGTACACGGCTGAGTGACCTAGAAGCGTAGACTGCGTTAGCTAAGCAATATACGGAAGGGATAACTGGATGTATTATTATGCTAGGAGTTAGGGTTAGGGTATGACCAGGATCCCAGTGTGATGAACACATTGAAACTTAACATCAGCCTCTAACACCGATTCCTAGCCCTACTTTTATGTTTGCGCCATAACTTTTTGATCATCGTTCGTTCGGGTCCGTACTTTAGGACAGTCACAACTAATTTTTGGCGGATTTTTTTAGTTTTTGATTCAATGTGATTAATAGGTATTCGAACAACTAAAGTACCCCAAAATTTCCCCAAACTTTGAGGAAGGCTATTTCACTTTGGGGATTTCCCCAAAATTCCCCAAAATTTCCCCAAAGCTGGTAGCTTGGGTGGCCCTGCAACAAGGAACATAGTTAAAAAGTGCATGAGCAGAAGCCCGGTATACTTGGCTTCTAAGCCTATAGGCTTAACCAGTACCACTCACTCTCGACATGCATCGCTTCACTGAAGCATCCTAAACTTACGATCGAAATTCCCCCAGCTAGAGTATTTTTCAAAATTGTGAAATTTAATGTCCAATACCACAGTGACGAGCAAATTTGCCTACTTGTTATGAGGAAGCAACTTAAACTAAGTTATAAAACGTGGGGAACTTCAATTATTACCCACTGCGACATTATAAATGCACCATCATTTTAATCATTCAAAAGTTGTCCAGTTGAAAAATTTGTTTGCAAATATCAGGTCTAATCTTGGCGATAATGCTTACTTTTTTAGCATTAAGATTCTTATTTTTGGTTTAGATGACACATTTTGCCATCTTTGTTCACCTAACAAGCTAAATGGCTCAGTCAAAACATTGTTATGGCAGACCGACATATTTTCTTCTGCTTGAGGATGAAATCTTCAGCAAATGATACTACGACGTATTGGTGTCATATTATGTTTGACTAACGCCCAACGGTTCGGGCTGTAGAGACACTGGAACATGGCTTAATGCTACGCGATCTGTTGCGATGCCAGTTGAAATTGAAATCTTAAGAGACAGAACTAGTTGTAGTGTGGCGTAGTCCTGAATTAGTAACTGATGTTTTCGTTCTAAATAAACTAGAAGCTGGTAAGTGAATTCAATGTATACCTAAACTGAGGCCTCCTGAAGACAGAGCCACTAGCTTTAATCCAGCACATTAAAGAAAATACCAGTTATGACCTACAGAACTCTTCTATCTGACACTTAGTCTCCGTTCATGGAAATGATGTTGGTTAAATGAAGTACTTTCCATCTATAGTTTGAAGTGATTATACAGCTATTACATTCAAGTTTATTGCTGATATTATTATTAATACTCACAAACAGCATGTAAGCACATAAGTGTTGTGAAAAAACCACTTTGGGTTTTTTCAGTGATGATGTCACAGGTATTCAGTGTTTGACAACGCTTCTACCAGTAACACCTTCTAATATATTTCGTTCCCGCCCAGAGAAATCAAAAGACAGAGTCGAGGTGATCGGAAGAGTATATTTGGCGATGACCAATATATCGGAATTCTCTGATCTAATCTGGCTAGCGATTGCGGTTGATGTTGAGCACGGCGTTACCACACGTGATCTGGTGCGGATGCCTGACCGAGCGCCTTCAGCTAGGTGAGTCCACTAAAACATATGGTCAGCATCCAATGTCGAAAACTTAGTGCTATTTATTTTGGGGATTTATTTACCGCTACAGATCACTCCCCCCCTAGTGGGGCAGCAACGATCCTAAGACGTGGCCAGCCAGAAGTTTAAACCCAACGAGTTTGTCGTTGGTAAACACTCTTCTGATAGCTTACTAAATTTAGCAGCGTCTCGTCCTCTTTCCTTACTATATGGGACGGAGGTAGAACATAGTAAAAAGAGAAAATATACAGTGAAAATTTCGGGTCCTCATAAACGTCATCGTTCTTTTCCAGCCGTCTTGGAAAAGAAAAAAGAAAGTGTAAGTGCATGTCGAAATACACTCGTATGTGCGTAAAAACACAATATCGGCGAAAAAATGGAAAATATACTCAAGCACACGTAATAGCGTTAAAAAAATGTTTTTTATGTTTTGTTTTGTTTTTTTTTAATAAAAATATAAATATATAGGCATAATAAAATTGTCTTTTTTTAAAAAAAATTATTTATCGTTAAAAAGAAAGATCGGGATAATATAAAATGTCGAGTAGTGCCTTACGTGCAGTAGTCGTTTAAATGTTCTGGAAATCTTACTCTTCTTCCAGAACGCGTCGTTTTAGGTATATTTTCAGATACATTCGGAGTATCATCGCTAGTGTTGGTTGTCGGTTGAGGAATTATGAGTGTAGGAGTCGTGTCGTTCGATTGTACCGAAGGAAAGTCGACGTGAATAGGATTTCCTTCTAAATAAGCTGCTTTTAAGCGATCGATGCAGATGCTATCGTTTGTTCCGTTCATGTTGACTATATAGTACTTAGATTCACGTTGAAGAACTTTGAAGGGTCCTTCGTATGCTGATTCGAATGGTCGTCGATGCGAGTCTCGACGAACGAAAACGTGTGTACTATATCGTAAGTCAGGTTGAACGAAAACATCAGTTGATTGAGGTCGAGTGGAAGCAGGTTTAACTGAACGCATTGCGTTTGTAAGCCTGTTCGTGTAGGAGGTTAGATCCATGTTCATTGAAGAGGATGAAGGATCCACGAATTCTCCTGGAAGTCGAAGTGTCGTACCATAAACGAGTTGAGCCGCAGTGTATCCAATGTCAGCTTTCACTGCATTGCGGATACCTAGTAAGACGAGTGGAAGAGCGTCGGTCCACTGTGAAACGTTTGCAGCTGATAGCGAAGCTTTCAGTTGTCGGTGAAAACGTTCTACCAACCCGTTTGCTTGTGGATGGTAGGCGGTCGTTCGGAAGTGAGTGATTCCTAAAAGTGTGGTCAGACGACGGAAAAGTTCAGATTCAAACTGACGTCCGCGGTCTGTGGTGATGGTTGAAGGGCAACCAAAGTTTGCTACCCATCGTTCGACGAAGGTGCGGGCCACTGTTTCGGCAGTGATGTCCTTGATAGGTACTGCTTCTGGCCATCGAGTGAAACGGTCTACGCAGGTTAAGAGGTAAGAGTGTCCATTTGAATCTGGTAAAGGTCCTACCAAATCCAGATGAACATGGTCGAAACGAGCATCGGGAGTTTTAAACGAGCCTAAGGGACATTTATTGTGTCTGATAACCTTAGATTTTTGGCAGCTTACACAGGAGCGTGCCCACTCCCTCACGTCTTTATTCATGCCAGGCCAGTAAAACTGTTCTGCTATAAGCTTGATTGTTGCACGAACACCTGGATGCGAAAGTTTGTGCAATGTGTTGAAAACATTGCGTCGATAATGTTTCGGCACGATTGGGCGATCCCTACCTGTAGATGTGTCACAAAGTAAGGTTTCCTTACCTGTTCCCATCTGTTTGATGCGTAGTTTAAGTGTTGTGGACGATAACTCGTGCTGAAGATCAGTGTCTTCTTTTTGAAGCTCGGCGAGTTTAAGAAGGTCGATTCCTTGGAAACTGTTCAAGGAAGTTATGCGAGATAAAGAGTCTGCAACTACATTGTTTGCTCCAGAGATGTGTTGAATATCTGAAGTAAACTGCGAAATGTAGTCCAGTTGTCGAGACTCACGGGGAGAGTACTTGTCAGGAGGAGGGCTTAACGAGAAAGTGAGCGGTTTATGGTCAGTGAAAAGAGTGAATTCACGACCTTCGATGTAGTGTTGGAAATGCCGTACAGCACAATACATAGCTAGGAGTTCCCTACCGAATGTGCTGTACCTGGATTCGGTGTCTAGCAACCTTCTAGAGAAAAATGCCAAGGGTTGCCAGGAGTTGTTAACCCATTGTTGTAAGACTCCTCCGATTGCCGAGTCGGATGCGTCTACTGCGATGCTAATGGGTGCTCGGGTGTCCTGATGTGCGAGCATTGTTGCTTTAGCAATCAGTTCCTTAACTGTGGAGAATGCTTTTCTTGCGGTGTCGTCCAAATTAATGGATTTCGCATTTCCACGAAGTTGGTCGGTCAGAGGTTTCATAAGTAATGCGCATTTGGGTATGAAACGTCTATAGAAACTTACGAGGCCGTTAAACGTGCGTAATTGCTTGACGGTGGTCGGTTCTGGGTAATCCAGAATGGCCGTCACTTTGGTCCTAAGAGGTCGAATGCCTTGAGCATCGATAGTGTGTCCTAGGAAGTCTAACGAGTCGGTTCCGAATTGGCATTTCTGAACGTTTACAGTTATGCCATGTTTTTGAAGTCGTTCGAAAACAAGATCCAGATGCTTGAGATGTGTTTCTCTGTCCGGACTTGCGATTAGACAGTCGTCAACATACGCGTGTACGAAGTTGAGACCTCGCAAAACGTCGTCTATGAATCTTTGGAATGTTTGAGCAGCATTCCTTAGACCGAAAGGCATTCGCAAAAATTCATAGAGTCCGAAAGGAGTTATGATAGCTGTTTTCGGTATGTCGTCAGTAGCCATAGGGATTTGGTTATACGCTTTAACCAAGTCGATTTTCGAAAAGACAGTTGTACCTTTCAAGGTAGCTGTCAAATCGTGAATGTGAGGCAACGGGTAACGATCGGGAATGGTTTTCGCGTTCAATCGCCGATAGTCACCAGTTGGACGCCAATCGTTGCTGTCCTTTTTAGGGACCATGTGCAACGGAGATGCATATGGGTTACTTGACGGTCGTATGATTCTTAAGTCCATCATGTGATCGAATTCGTTTTTCGCTAACCTTAGCTTTTCAGGAGCTAGTCGTCGTGCTTTAGAGAATACAGGTGGTCCTGTAGTCGTGATGTGATGTGTAACGTTGCTGGTTACACACGGTAGTTTCGGTTGAGTTTGTTGTATCCCAGGGTACTTATCGAGTAGTGGTTGATAGAGTGGGTCTATCATATGTTTAATTGTGACTGGGGATAATTTGCAACCAGTAAAAGAAGTTACGCAAACGGATAAATTAGTGTTTCCGTCTACTAGCCTCCGTTTGCGCGTATCGATGATCAGATTGTGGTGTTGTAGAAGGTCCATACCAATGATTGGCATAGAAACATCTGCAACAACGAAAATCCAGTGAATGGGTTTGCGTAAACCCACGTTAAGGTAAACGTACCTTTTGCCATACGTAGCGATCGGTTTTCCGTTTGCCGCCTGTAAGTTTAGAGTCGATTCGTGAAGTCGGTCGTTAGGATTTGCTGGGAGAACGCTAACTTCTGCGCCAGTGTCGACGAGGTAGTGAACTCTCGTTGTCACATCCATGACGAATAACAGACGGCTATGTTCGCCGGCTACGGTTGCCGTTAACGCGTGCCGGCTTGGAAGTTTCCCGAGTTGTTTTTCGAGTTAGTCGTTTTTGAAATGGAAAAATTGCAGGGTTTTCTGCAATTTCTGGAAAACTTTCCATACTGGTTATGATACCAGCACCAGTCGGGGTTATCTGTCTCTCGTGGTCTAGAGACAGATCGCTTACGTGAAATGCTTCTACGTGGGGTGCGCGATCTCTTACGGTCGGTACGAAGACTAAGATAACGCGTGAGTGTGTGACATAAGTCGGTTATATCATTCTGAGTCGTGTGAGGCTTTTCTTTGACTGAAAATACCTCGGTAGTAGGTTTCGTAATTTCTAGAATGCGGTCGGCAGATGCAGCTAGCTCGTCTAAGGCGTTGTTCTGGAACGAGACCAGAACTGCTTGCACCTGTTGGGGAAGTTTTGACAAGAAGAGTTGTTTGAATAGACCTTCGTCGAAAGTTCTTGGGCCTATTACCTCTCTCATCCGTTGCAACATGTCCGTCGCAGAACCGTGTTGCAGGTCGATGTTATTGAAGAGTTGATCTAACC